CCCATTGCCATAGGAGTGACTTCCGCGGTCACCAAGACGGGGACTACATGATGGGTTTACCTTTTCCTTTTCTATAAATTGTACCAAAACATCCACTAAGTTCTTACATTTGTGCCAGTCCTTCAGATAAAGTTATCTGGTAGCCAGCTCTTGGGTTGGACCAGAAACCTATCTAGGCCATCTTGGTCAAAGTCTTGAAGGGCCTCGGCTTCAATTTCAGTCACACTTAATAAAATGAAACTTATGAGGGAAAAAGAAGAACCTAAGCAACAGAGCTGTCAGAGGGTGAGATGACATGGATAGACTGTATGCACTTAGCTTTAAGGGAAGGTTACTTGGTGAGGACAGTCCCATGCGATTTTCATCATGGCTAATGGAGGAGGCATTGCAGGACGTCAGGTAGGTCTTAGAGTGGTTAACCATCTGAACTGAAACTGAAGGTCTGATTCTGGGATTTCAGTTTCACTCAATGAAACCTCTCTTATCAGCTCCTGTCATAAAGGCTAAAATGTTGGAGCTGGAAAGCATCTCAGAGGTCTTCTAATACAACTCTTTCATTCAAGAGATGAGCAACTGAGGCCCAGAGAGGTCCAGCAACTGGTCCAAGGCCAAACACCTGGCTGGGGAAAGGCACAGCTGGAACTGCACCATGTTCCATTATTCTAGGACTCGGTACAATGATTTTTCTTTTTTTTCCAACACACACTCTTGCCCAGACAGCACAGGTGGTGAAGGTAACAAACATTCCCTGCACACCTATAGATCTTTTTCATACTCCTTTTTAATCCTTTTAACGCTCATCAGATAGAGAGATTAATCTCATTTGAAATTTGTGAAAACAAACAGTAACTGAGGCTCAAGGAGGTTCAATTACTTGCCCAAAGTCACACATCCAGAATGAGAGACTTGGGATTTCAACTCCAAAGCCTACATGGGGAAAACAGCACCAATTTTGAGATTGCCAACTGCCATAAACCACAGCAAGCCTATGTGTGGACCCAAAATAGGTATTCCACCAATTCTAGATGCCCTGTTTAATGGCAACCATGTATAACATGCAGCAAACCCTCCTTACGGTGTATAATTAAAATACGTATTCTAGGACTTTTTTCCCCACAGATTGTTTATATTTTGAAGTCTTTAAAAACTGTCCCCTAAGTTGGAAGCAGGTGGTGGTGATGACTGTACAACAGTGGTCATAATTAACATCACTGAATTGTACATGTAAAAATGATGAAAATGGCAAATGTTGTGTT